CGCGTTGCCCCCGTCCCCGCGGGAACCCGGCGGCTCCTTGGAGCGCGTCCTTGGAGCGGGGAGCCGGCTCCGAGCGCCTCCGCCGTGTCCGTAGCTGGACGGTTGTCCTCTCAAATTGAACGTAACTTCGTGAGGATCTTTCCAGCTGTTGCCAAAGCCTGGCCCCATTAAGCTGATTTTCTTTGCGCTGTCGCAGCCGCTGGATGTTCGGAGGCATCGTGGCGTGAGGAGGAGGAGGAGGAGGATGGGACTGGATGTGCAGACCAAGGGCTCCGGATCCCGCCGGGGCCGGAGTCCAGCTGGCAAGGACAGTTCGCACATTAATCCTGCTGCTGCCGGAGGCCACGCTCCAAGGGGAAGGGGGACGTATAGGACAGGCTCCAGGAGGAGCAGGGAACATAGAGTGGGGCAGAAAATGTATAGATTGGGCCCCCGGAGGAGCAGGGAACGTATAGACCAGGCTTCAGGAGGAGCAGGGAACACAGAGTGGTGCAGCGAATGAATGGACCAGGGACTAGGAGGAGCAGGGAACGTATAGACCAAGCTCCAGGAGGAGCAGGAAGCATATAGCGGTGCAGGGAACATATAGACCAGGCTCCGGGAGGAGCGGGAAGCATATAGAGGCGCAGGGAACACATAGACCAGGCTCCGGGAGGAGCAGGGAGCAGATAGCGGTGCAGAGCGGAGCGCTCGCCCCCGAGACGCGCCGTGTCCTCGTGCGGTGACAGCAGCGCGTGACGATGCCCGAGGGCAGCACCGTGGGTGACAAACCCCCTTCCCGGACCACAACCTGCTGCTCCACATGGGACATGAGGTCCAGCCACGGGGCCGGGTAGACCTGGTGACCATTCCCAACACCCGGAGCAGGGGACACAGGCGGGTCCAGAGCCGCTTTTTGGATTCGCTCTGGTTTTTGCTGCTCGTGCGCCGCATGCTGATGAAGGCAGCGCTACCTGCTCTGCCCGGGGTGCTGGATTAAGATTTAATGAGATTCTTGCCTTTGCCTTGTTCCAAGCTGTTGTATTTAAGTGCCGCTTGGCTTTCATTTTATCTCCACTTTGAAGCAGTTTTGCAACATTTCTTGTACTCTTAAGCCAGTCGTGACTCTTCTAATATCTCCTAACTTATTTATTTCCACGTTGTTTTTCTTTCCAATCGATGAAATTAATGATATACAGTCGGCATTATCAGTCTGTGCTGCACTGGGGTTGGTTTGGCTGCAAATTAATAGAGACTTAAACTTGGCAGCTCTCAGGAGGTACCAGCCTCTTTTTTTATTTCAAAGACTTTTCCTTTATTTATTTATTTTTAAGTCCCCTGGCTAGGAAGCTGCTTCTGGTGGTTTTGGCTCTCCCTGCATTCGGTCTCACACGTTTTGGCACTCAACACGGTGTTTATGCGAGCAAAACCGGGCGCCTGTGATGGAGCGGGTGCAAATTGAGTTTGCAGCTAACCCTCTGCTCTGTCTTTTCCTTGCATCGCTCTGCGGGCAGATGAAATCATCCGACGCCGACCAGGAGCTGTTCACCGAGAGCTATTGCAAAGTGTGCAGCGCTCAGCTGATATCGGAGTCGCAGCGCGTGGCGCACTACGAGGTAGGACCCTGCTCGCGCCCGGTGCCATCGCGCTGCTCCCATTGGGTCACCCCGTTGGCCTCCAAGGTCCCTCTCTTGAAAGCCGAAGGGTATTTGGTGGCATTTGCCTCTGCAAATGATGTCGCTGGTCCAATTTGCCAAGGGATTGGCAATCTGAACATGCCGCCGAGCTGGTTTTCAAAGAAATGTAGTTAGCAAGGAGATCCATTAAGAGTTCAGCCGAACGAGCTCAAGTTTTAATATTACATGTGATGCACCATGCTTTGTGGAGTAGGAATCACTGATTGTGCAGAGGGTAGATTAGTGTTTGTGAATGTATTTAAGCACTTAAGAAGTAGGCAAGCAATAAACAATTAGAAAGGATGTATCATTAGAGACGTGTTAGAACAGCAATTAGCAGCGCTGCATATCTTCAAAACAAAATTAAATAAATTCCTATTAAAGAGGGGGAGGAAATTACTGAAGGATACGCTGCTGTGAAGTCCTCTGAGAGAGGAGAAGCCCTGTGCGGTGCTTAACGTGGCACGGGCGCTTTGCAGCATCAATATCCAGGGGAATGCAAACTGGAATGGGGAGAGGGAAGAGGTGGTGCATTAAAACCCTCGATGGCTGCAGCTTCTGCCGTCCGAGGGCACCCTAAAGACCTTGGTGGAGATGCCAAGCTCTTGCCACAGGAGCAGGTAGAGCAACCTGCAAGCGTCGGGATGCGCAGCCAACGGCTTCTCTTCTGGGTCGGGCGCCGCGGGTATGAGCCGAATCGCTGATTCGTAGCAGATGTTTTGGAAATGTGGAAAACAACACGTTTTCTGTTGTGTATTTCTGGTGCGAGGTGTTGTGCTCATTTGTCATCCCCTGTGAAATCCCAGCAGACGGGGTTGACGCGCGGCACAATAACGCCGTTATATAACTCGCCTGGCAGTTGCATAATGCGGAGCAGAGCGTCGCAAGCCTGGAGGGACCAGGCGAGACCATCGGTCCCAGCAAACGGCCTGCTCGGACCGACACGGCCTCTCCTCTTGGCTCCAAGAGGTGGCAGATCCTCCACGCTGCAGCCGGGCATCTACAGCAGCCTCTATTGCGGGCAACAAGGCACGCTGCAGCCGCCCTTCTCCACCAGCCTCTGTTGTGGGCACCAAGGTGGCCCTGAGGGCCTTTGTCCAAGCCAGGGGTAGATGGAGATGTCATGGAGAAGTGAGGGGAGCTGGAGATGCAACGGGGAAGCCAGGGGAGATGGGGTTGCAAAAGGGAAGTCAAGGGAACTGGAGATGCAATGGGGAAGCCAGGAGAGCTGGAGATGCAACAGGGAAGCTGGGGCAGCTGGAGATGCAATGGGGAAGTCAAGAGCTGGAGATGCAACAGGGAAGCAAAGGGAGCTGGAGATGCAATGGGGAAGAGCCGTGAAAGCTGCTCAGGGTTTGCACAAGGCCATTAGCCCTGGTGCAACGCACGTTTCCCTGCACGGATCCCTGTGGGCTCGGGCAGGTCCGGATCCTCGTCACCAGGAGGGTCGGTGCACGTCGCTGCTGGGCACGTAGCCTCGAACCCTGCGGGAGCAGCTCCAGAGCCAACGTGCCGCGACTGCAAATGCGGGTTGAAAACCTTCCTGCAACAGTCTCGTCTCTCTTCTGATGAGTTGGAGGCGGCTTCGAGAGACCTGAGCAAATAATTTGTAGTGAATCATTTATTAGGTGAACTTAGCCGCTTTCTCGACGCAGGCATTGGGCAAGCGGTATGCGATTTCCACACATACATTAATCATGGGAAATTATCAGAGAGTAATTTCTGCAAATACCTCCGGCTCTGACACTGTTGCAGCAGCAGTTTGCTGTAAGCATCTGTGGCAAAAGCCAGAAGACAGTTTTTTCCCTAAGATACTCATGGTGGAAGGGGTTTCCTTAGACATCCTGGCTCGCGGGCACCCCGGGATCCAGGGGATCGATGCGTTTTGGGGCTGTTGGCACCAATGCAGCAAATGCACCGATGCAGCACCACTATCCCTGCAAACCCAGGCATCCCAGGGCAGTGGTCGGAGGAAAAAGGAGATCAGGACTTGCCTCTCGCAGCATCCTGCAATGTGGACTCCTCCGTGCATGCAAAATAAGTAATTTCCATGCATTAAAATAAAGGGAATCAGTGGGTGAAGGGGGGTGTTTTTAATCTTCCCAAGCAGAAATAGTCACATCCAGGCGCTCGCTCGTCTCCCTCTCCGAATCATCAACCGCTAACTCCGCTCTCCTCCTGCTCTACTTTGCCAGGAACGAGAAATAATTCGATGCCAGTCGCGCAATATTAGGCAGCATTAGTTCCAAGGGCAAGCACGGTGGGGAAATGACAAAAGAATCAGTGTTTGCAGCATATTTTGGCTTCGGACTTGACATGCAGCGAAACATTGCTCTTATTTTGGGTGTTCTGTGCAGCTCCTGTCTGTGGTGGGGATCGTGGCTCACCCTTCCAGCCCTGCGGAGCAGGGGGATTTGGGAAGTGGGAGCAAGGGGATTGGGGATGCTGGAGCAGGAGGGATTGGGGATGCTGGAACAGGAAGATTGAGGATGCTGGAACAGGAGGGATTGAGGATGCTGGAGCAGGAGGGATTGGGGATGCTGGAGCAGGAGGATTGGGGATGCTGGAGCAGGAGGATTGGGGATGCTGGAGCAGGAGGATTGGGGATGCTGGAGCAGGAGGATTGGGGATGCTGGAGCAGGAGGATTGGGGATGCTGGAGCAGGAGGATTGGGGATGCTGGAGCAGGAGGATTGGGGATGCTGGAGCAGGAGGATTGGGGATGCTGGAGCAGGAGGATTGGGGATGCTGGAGCAGGAGGATTGGGGATGCTGGAGCAGGAGGATTGGGGATGCTGGAGCAGGAGGATTGGGGATGCTGGAGCAGGAGGATTGGGGATGCTGGAGCAGGAGGATTGGGGATGCTGGAGCAGGAGGATTGGGGATGCTGGAGCAGGAGGATTGGGGATGCTGGAGCAGGAGGATTGGGGATGCTGGAGCAGGAGGATTGGGGATGCTGGAGCAGGAGGATTGGGGATGCTGGAGCAGGAGGATTGGGGATGCTGGAGCAGGAGGATTGGGGATGCTGGAGCAGGAGGATTGGGGATGCTGGAGCAGGAGGATTGGGGATGCTGGAGCAGGAGGATTGGGGATGCTGGAGCAGGAGGATTGGGGATGCTGGAGCAGGAGGATTGGGGATGCTGGAGCAGGAGGATTGGGGATGCTGGAGCAGGAGGATTGGGGATGCTGGAGCAGGAGGATTGGGGATGCTGGAGCAGGAGGATTGGGGATGCTGGAGCAGGAGGATTGGGGATGCTGGAGCAGGAGGATTGGGGATGCTGGAGCAGGAGGATTGGGGATGCTGGAGCAGGAGGATTGGGGATGCTGGAGCAGGAGGATTGGGGATGCTGGAGCAGGAGGATTGGGGATGCTGGAGCAGGAGGATTGGGGATGCTGGAGCAGGAGGATTGGGGATGCTGGAGCAGGAGGATTGGGGATGCTGGAGCAGGAGGATTGGGGATGCTGGAGCAGGAGGATTGGGGATGCTGGAGCAGGAGGATTGGGGATGCTGGAGCAGGAGGATTGGGGATGCTGGAGCAGGAGGATTGGGGATGCTGGAGCAGGAGGATTGGGGATGCTGGAGCAGGAGGATTGGGGATGCTGGAGCAGGAGGATTGGGGATGCTGGAGCAGGAGGATTGGGGATGCTGGAGCAGGAGGATTGGGGATGCTGGAGCAGGAGGATTGGGGATGCTGGAGCAGGAGGATTGGGGATGCTGGAGCAGGAGGATTGGGGATGCTGGAGCAGGAGGATTGGGGATGCTGGAGCAGGAGGATTGGGGATGCTGGAGCAGGAGGATTGGGGATGCTGGAGCAGGAGGATTGGGGATGCTGGAGCAGGAGGATTGGGGATGCTGGAGCAGGAGGATTGGGGATGCTGGAGCAGGAGGATTGGGGATGCTGGAGCAGGAGGATTGGGGATGCTGGAGCAGGAGGATTGGGGATGCTGGAGCAGGAGGATTGGGGATGCTGGAGCAGGAGGATTGGGGATGCTGGAGCAGGAGGATTGGGGATGCTGGAGCAGGAGGATTGGGGATGCTGGAGCAGGAGGATTGGGGATGCTGGAGCAGGAGGATTGGGGATGCTGGAGCAGGAGGATTGGGGATGCTGGAGCAGGAGGATTGGGGATGCTGGAGCAGGAGGATTGGGGATGCTGGAGCAGGAGGATTGGGGATGCTGGAGCAGGAGGATTGGGGATGCTGGAGCAGGAGGATTGGGGATGCTGGAGCAGGAGGATTGGGGATGCTGGAGCAGGAGGATTGGGGATGCTGGAGCAGGAGGATTGGGGATGCTGGAGCAGGAGGATTGGGGATGCTGGAGCAGGAGGATTGGGGATGCTGGAGCAGGAGGATTGGGGATGCTGGAGCAGGAGGATTGGGGATGCTGGAGCAGGAGGATTGGGGATGCTGGAGCAGGAGGATTGGGGATGCTGGAGCAGGAGGATTGGGGATGCTGGAGCAGGAGGATTGGGGATGCTGGAGCAGGAGGATTGGGGATGCTGGAGCAGGAGGATTGGGGATGCTGGAGCAGGAGGATTGGAGGTTCTGGAATGGGAGGGATTGGAGGTTCTGGAACAGGAGGGATGGGGAATGCTGGAACAGGGGGACTGGGGAGGTTGGAGCAGGCAGGATTGGGAATGCTGGAGCAGAGGGATTGGGGATGCTGGAACAGGGGGATTGGGGATGCTGGAGCAGGTAGGACTGGGGAGGCTGGGACAGGGGGATTGGGGATGCTGGAGCAGGGGGGTTTGGGGATGCTGGAACAGGAGGGACTGGGGAGGCTGGAACAGGAGGGATTTGGGATATGGTGCTGGTGCCAGTGGGATGCACATGACCTTTCCGCCGCTTTGCCTGTGCAGCACGGTGCCTGTCCTCAAAGCACAGCTCAGTGTGTCTGCATCCTCCCCTCTGCACAGAAGTGCTCGGTTCACAGCTGGTAGATAGATGCTACCATTTATTTTCAAGTTTCTCCTTGAAAAATCCCGCAGGAAAACTACCAAATATGCAAAGTCGCCGTCAGATTCCACCTTGAGCTGCATATTCATCAGCACATTTGCTCAGTAAGCTGCTATCACACTTCCCTTCGCCATAATCTTTATTGCTTCAGGTGCTCAGTCAGTGCTATTTTGCTTTTTCATTTAAAAGGAAGAATTATGTCAAAATGACTCTCAGAGCACTTGCTCTGGCAAGGGGAAGGCAGAATGTTGTTATTTTGAGGGTTTGGGGAGTTATTTTGTTTGATTTGCTGTGGTTGGAATTTGGGAGCAATAAATGGTCATGATTTTAGGAAAAAATTGGCATGGACTCATTGTTGCTTAAGTGAACAGAGCGCCAGGTAATTGCCTTTATTTGCAAACAGAATAACGTCCTAACCAGGAATATGCTCCAAACCTGTTGTTTCCAGAGCTGGTTTCCCTCTGGTGAAAATTCAGCTGTGAGCGATCGGGGATTGCAGACACGTATCGAGGTGCCCGGCAAGTCGCCGGCATGAGCAGACACTTTTTAAAAAATTAACTCACGGAGGAAAGAAAAAAAAAAGGGGGGAAGTGAATAGAAACGAACATAAATTATAAATGAGGCTTTGCAAAAAAATTTCAAAGGGAGAAAAAGGACATTGGCACCCAGCAGCGTCTGGAATAACAGAAGGGAGTTTGTCTCCGTGACGAGCAGCGGGATCTTGACAATAGTGTTTGCTTGCTGTGTGGGCCGAGGAGGCAAAGAAATGGAGGCGTTTTCTGAAAATACGACTGTCCTCCATCTAAAAAAAAGGCAGAGGATGTTGTTATATCACAGAAGGAGGGGGAAACGGTTCGCTTTCCAGTAGGAATTTGCAAGGTTGTTAAACAGTGATTATGAAATTTGGAGATATATATATTTTGGGGGAGTTGGCGGATGTATAACTTGCAAGCGAGCGCCTGGAAGAGAGGAGCAAACTGTGAATTGCCTGATCCCGGATTGCTGCATGCTGTGGGTTTGGCCCTTCTTTGTCCCCAGCCTGCACTAATTTGGATGCCAGGTGTTAATAGCTGTTTCATTAGCAAAGCCAGTGGGCTCTGGGGGCTTCTGGTGCTCATCGCTCACTTCACTGGGGTAGAGAGCTGAGTTCTGGGTGCATTTTTTCCCTTTACACCTACAGGCAGAGTGGAGAAAACCAGGTTTTCCAAAAGCACACAGGGAGATAAGTTGGGGTAGGATATTTCATGCTATTTATCGGAGTAATTTGCTCCATCTTTTTTTTTAAAAAATAGGTAGCATAGTCCCATTTTCGCATACAAATTGAGTTCCCTGCCAATTTAGCTCCAAGCAGGCGCCGCGGGAAGAACAACACTCTGCTACATCTTAATGGTGATTTAATTTTTTCAAAATTGCAAATCTGGGCTCCGAAATTATAATATTATGGTGCTGCTGTTCTGGGAGGCAATCAGAAATGGAAATTCAGAGGAAGCATTTGCATAAGAATAGCTGCAGCGCTGCGTCCTTCGTGGTGCATCGCCTCCCTCCCGCTGGAACCGAATAACCCTCGTCCTTTGGGTCTTCCCAGCTATGGAAAATTCCAGGCTCCTCCTGGAAAAGCAGATGTTCCCCACGTGGGTCATTCCCCCTTTTTTCCTCCCACTTTGGCTGTGCATCTCAAGGGGTTTTGGTGTTGTGGAGGTGCAGCATAGCAGAACTTGGGTTTTGTAACTAAATTTCTTGCTTTTCTCCCCCCGTTTTGGTTTTTTTTGCAGAGTCGGAAGCATGCAAGCAAAGTTCGACTCTATTACATGCTGCATCCCGTAGATGGAGGCTGCCCAGCCAAAAAGCTCCGCTCTGAAAACGTGGGTATCACTTGAGCTCTTGTTTGCTCAGCTGCTTGGTGAACCGTTGATTCAGTGCTGCATGTTTTCTGCATGGCCCAGAGGTAACATTTAAATCAACATAAACACTAAGGAACTGGAAACCATTTTCCATAAACTCTATAAAAAATATTATGCTCATCAGCAGTGGTCATTGCAGCTCCTTCATGCAGTAATTCAACTAGCAAGAGGTACCCACATTGCCACATGGATTCGGAGACACCGAGGATAATATTTGCTGTTATTTGAAGCTCATAAAAATATTTGGGAAAAATATTCCCATTATCCTTTGCTGCCAAGGAGCCTTCTGCATTGCGTGATGCATGGTTATTAGGCTGGTTGTTACCGGGTTAATTTTGGTGCCGTGAGGGTGTTTTTTGGTGTTTTATTTTGAATTCCTGGTTCAGCTGCAGGTGCCTAGGGAAGGGGACGCTGACGTTCTCAATGGCCTTTTCTTGCTGCAAAAACAGGAGCAAGCTGGAAGTAAAGAAAAAAATACTAATTAGGCAATTAATGTCCCATTAGGCACAGAAACGAGCTGTTCTCTCTGGGGACTCCTCCGGTGCTTTGTCCTACCTAGTTTTGAATATCCACTTAGGCAAGGTGGAAGCCAAGGTCTCCAGGCATGGAAAACTCCCCCATTCCATGGTATTTGTCCCCGTCAGAGCCCAGGTTCTCTCCGTGCAACATGTCCCATGTGGCATTTAGGCTTGTTCCTCTCGGAGGACGCGCGGCTCTTCGGATGCTCCAAGTATGGGATGCCGTCAGCATCCATCCGGAGGGGCCGGGGATATCATTTCCCAGCTAATTGCAGGCTGCTGTCACCTCGCTGCCATCGGGCTGGTGACAGAGGACACTGGGATCAGGTTCCCATATGCCCACAGGTAAATACCTGCTGTTTTTTCACTCTGCACTTATTTTTCAAGTGGTTTTGCTTTGAAGATGTGCAAGATAACAGGAGAGAATCCATCTAAAAGAAGTGTGAATTGTGCTCGGAAGAGTCATTATCGCCTCCAAGATTTCTCCCCAAAGTTTAAGTTGATTCATAGTTAACAACAGCAACAAGGAAAAAGAGATGAAAAACGGCCTTTTTTTTCCTAATGGAGCTTATTCTGGGATGCAAAGGACTCTCAGCTGGATGTCCTCTGTGTGGTCCCTCAGCTCTCCTGGGGTTTCCCAGACTAGGGAAGGTCTCCTTCCATGGTGAGGTTTGCTGCCCAGTGCCCAGGTCTTGGCTCCCCCCGTTTTGGTCGGCAGCATCCTGGCTCCATAACAGCATCCCAGCTCCATAACAGCATCCCAGCTCCGTAACAGCATCCGTGCTCCGCTGCAGCATCCCAGCTCCATTGGAGCATCCCAGAGCAGCGCAGGAACATCTTCCCTTCTCCAGGGGAGAAACCATGGAAAGAATGCAGGACCTGGGGCATGCCAGTGTCGAGGGGGGCTCATCCACTTGTATTTTTGTGTTTTTGACTCCCGCAGGGCAGCGATGGCAACTCAGTGGACAAGAACAAGTGCTGCACTCTGTGCAACATGTCCTTCACCTCGGCAGTGGTGGCTGACTCACATTACCAAGGGAAAATCCACGCAAAAAGGCTAAAGCTCTTGCTAGGGGAGCAGCCCGCGCTCAAGGCCCCAGGTATGTGGGGGTTACCTCAATTTTCAGCCTCGTTTTGCATCAATCGCCCTCTGCTTTTGGCCCAGATGGGCGTCCCCGCTCCCCTCCACGGTGCTTCCAGCAGCTCGAGCCCATTAAGGCTCCAGATATAAATTTAGCCCGTGTATTTTATATCTAATGAGATGTGCATAAATCCCAGCTATAATTAAATAAGGGGGCTTGGGCTCAGCGTGTGGATGGTAGTGACGGGGCTGGGGTTTTTTTTAGCTTTGCACGCTGTAGGGATGCAGATGCATAAAATATCACCGGTCCTTTGGTGGGATTTTGCCTTGGGAGATGCTTGTCTCTTCCCTGGGGGATTCCAGGGTGCTGTTTTCAATGGCATTTTGTTCTTTTTTGCCAAACCAAGTGTTCTCCAGGGGCCGTGATGTCGCAGCAGGGCAGCGCACGGGGTCGTGGGGCTGCTCCGGGGTCAATCCCAAGGGAGAGGCAGCCGGCGCCGGGAGGTTGTTGGATTGCCCCGTGTTTGCATTAGTGCTTAGGATCCAGCTCCCCTGCGACCGCAGCCTTCTGAGTCCAAAAGAGCCCTAAACTTTGGATTTTCAGGCAAACCGAGGCTGCTGGATTTAAGGTTAGAGAGGACAGATTCTCCCATGCGATTCCCAGTTCGGATTTGCCTCCCACCATGCGGAAAGAGCCGTTGCCGTGGTGGCTCCTGCTGCAGTCAGAAGAGCTGCAGTTTGATCAATCCATCAGACTGAGCTTACCACTATAATCCTCCGTGTGCTTAAGTGAGCTATATATTTTATTGAGAGTCTCCTCGAGCTCGCATGATGCTTTTCCCTGGAATCTGCTGCGCCGGGTTGACCTGTTCCCCCAAGCAGCTCTGTCACCGCGAGCCCTCATGGGTCCCTCCCGCTGTCCCCAGCATCTCCTGTCACCTTGCATCCCATCACCATTCCCGGCGCCAGCTGGAAAACAAAGCACTGCTGGGAAACAATAGCTGCTGCCGACCTTCATCAAGGCGCGTGTGATCCCTGGATTTGTGTTTTCTTTAAGGAGAACAGTGGATTTAAGATTGTAGAGTACAGGCTCTCTCCCATATGTGCATCCGCAGACAATCCAGCCCTCGTCCCTGTCTCTTTGGGGACATTTTGAGGACGCTGGATGCTCTTGCTAAGGTGGCTCAGGGCATGAGGACATTGGAGCTGGGCAGGGGACCATCCACGGGGCGTCTGGGCTGTTGCTGGTCCCTGCGATGGGCCGGGCACTTGTTCCCAGCAGAGCAGAGGTGTAGAAACACCTGGAAGTGGATAAGGCCATAGGTAACGTTGGAGGCTCCATACCATTTCCTGCAGGAAAACTAAGAGCAGATTCATCCCGGGGGGCAGTCGGAGGGATTTAAGGATGTGGGAACGGAGCCCCAGGACCGGGCTCCGACATCGTGTGTTAATTATTCAAGGAGCAGCGTTTCATCTCGAAAAGGAAAAGCACATGAAAAGGAATTGCAGAACGAGGTGCGGTAATTAAGTCTCTGTGTATTTTTACAGTGTCAACTTTGCTCTCTTTTTCAACCCATTTCTCCATGGCTTTGCCATTTATAAAATGCAGACGTGGTGCTGCGGTGTTGCATAAGGACCCAGCACCCACTTTTCTTCCAAGTTTATGTGGATCAGGTTGTGAATCCAGGGGAAATGAGGCTAAGAGAAGGCCGAGTGTTCCCGACACGCCAGAGAGGAGACTGGATGCGGCGTGACTTTAGCATCAGTGGCTTTGAAATAGTCCAATTTTTCCTATTCTTTTCGAGTCAAAATAAATTGAAAAATCAGACTCCTGAGATGGGCATAAACCTCCTCCCGATCCGGGGAAGGAGATGGCTTTGCATTTGGGTTGATTCTTCATGCAAGCAATCCCCTCCACGGGCGGCATTGCGTGCTTAGCCTGCAGGGAAGCACGGCTGCCCGTGGAGCAGTTTTGCCCAGTTTTTTGCACTGCTTTTCCTATAAAACGGGAGTTTCCGCCGCCGCCGCGGGCGCCGCGGGACTCGGAGCGGCACTGCCAGCTCTGCGCCGCCTGGTTCAACAACCCGCTCATGGCCCAGCAGCACTACGAGGGCAAGAAGCACAAGAAGAACGCGGCGCGCGCCGAGCTCCTGCAGCAGCTGGGCAAGACGCTGGACCTGGGCGAGCTGCGAGGTGAGCGCCGGCCCCGTGCCGAAAGCCAGGCCGTTTTCCCATCCAACGTCCCGTTTTCTTTAATTTTTCCTAAGTTAAATAATTTTCCCCTAGGTGCTAGCGACTACGCGGGTGGTTGCGTGTTCTTGATCGCGGCTGAGCCCTGTAATGGTGATCCAGGTGCTCCGTGTGCCGCCCGGGATGAGTCACCGCGGCATCAATGATTCATGGGCCTGAGTCACGATCCGTCCTGGAAAATACACAGGGAAAAACAGCCCAGGACGGTAACAGGGAGGTGTCTGGCGCTTCAGACCACACCAGGCTCACAAGGCCCCTCACAAGGGTATCACTGTGTGGTGATAAATCACCAGGGAAGCGTTTTTCCCACTTTTACCCATTTTTACCTGCAAATCCAGATGCCTGCGCAGGGATTCTGCCCCTGAAAACCTCGGTGTCCCTCACGGCAAGGGGAACTGTCACTGTCTGGCCCAGAGCTGGGTTCATTCCTTCTCGGTTCGCAGTCTCCCTGTGCGCCACATAAATATTTTTCCGCTCGGTGCTGTCACTTTTGCTTAGCACGAAGCAATTTAGCGAGTGCTCCCCGGGAGCGCTTTGCAACGCGCTTTATCCCGAGTGACATTAATGACTTGACTTTTTAATATTTTATCTAATGGGTAGAGCAGCGCGGTGGCTTTTGCATGGGTGGGTGTCACCATTTCAGGGGGGGACACCACGAGGACACAGTGGTGTCATTTGTGCAGGCAGAACATGGCATTTCCCAATGGAAACCGCTCCAGTGCTTGCTCCTGGTTTGGGCTGGTCAGGCTCCGGATGGGCTGGGTTTTGGGGAATTGTAAATTTGGGATTTGATTAGTTAATGAGTTCGTTAAACTGGAGTGCACTTGCATGTATCTCTGTGCACAGGACAGCCAGGTTTATCACTTGCTTCGGGTCGGATGCTTCTCCCACCAATGCCAGATCCAGAGCCACCGTTATTCCCTGCTCCGGGCTGCTGGAAAACCCGCATGTCCCGGCCGGGCGGTCTAGTCACTGCCAGTGTTTCCACCTCCCCAAGTAATTAAGATTCAATAAGGCCAGGTTAATGTGTGCTGTT